CGCGACGTGAGTTCGTCTCTCAAGTGAAGAGTTTACACTGTGGTGGTGCGACCTATACTGCTCTATGGATCAGAGACGTGGCCTCTGCGCACAGAAGGCATACGGAAGATGTCGTTGTTTGATCCTCGATGTCTCCTAAGCATTGGTCAGACCTGGTAGGAACATCGGATTAGTAATGCTGACGTACACCAGATGGCCTTAGAAAGAAGGAACTCCCCCCACCCCGCGATAGATGAATTACTCACGCTAGTTGGGACCAGTGGACCCTCCGCCTTACAGAGCTCTTTTTCTCAGACCTGTGCTGAGTGGAAACGACCGAGAGGTGCACAATGTATGACGTGGCAACAAAGTTCGAAAACACTGACCAGTAAATTTAGTCGGGTGGGTGACTGCTGCCTCTCTGGATGGGGCCCCGGTAATCAAGTCACGGTTAGCTAATCACATTGGCGAAAATTGCCCAATCGCGCGATCAGTGACGGTCGTGCATCAATGCTATCGCCTTTACTGCGTAGCTACCCAATTTCTGGACAAACTGAACATGCCTTCACCTCCAAGCCTTGGTTATATGTTCCACTTTCCCGTTTTCCGGTGATCGAAACTGTAGCAGCTGGAACCAACATACGTATGGTGCACGGTTTATAGCTGGTAAATTGAGTTGAATTGAATAGTATATAGTAGGTACAGTCTCACCGGGAGTTTTTTGAATTTCAGCTATAGTGAATAATTTGCCGGTAGTCACAGTCAACCTTTGGGCGGTCGGATTATGAGAATCTCCGGGTCCATCTTCTCCAACTCGTCTTTCCTCTGGAGAGGGTAGCATGGCGGCCGCTGACACACCGGTCACCTGTAACAACTACCTTACGACCTTTACTTCTACTTTGCAATTTTATTTCCAGAGCACCTCGTAATACGGCTATGTTAGTAATGGGGCGCGCTACTCTGTTTCTTTCTGGCACGATTATGCTTTATGGGACGTATTTCCAGTCAATGTAGCGCACGGTATCATTGCAATGTCTGAGCCTGACCATCTTATCAAGGCAGCATCTTACGACTGGGACTGAGGAGTTAGTGTGTTGTTTGGCTACAGACGCAGTCGTATCGACAGTCACCAGCTAGTCGTTCTCGAGGAATGACTGTTGATAACACCAGAAATATGCCTTCGGCTGATGTGCGCAATGGGAGCCGACTAAGAGCACAAGTTCTGTGCACTTAGTCCCACGACCAACCTTTACTAAGCAGCGGCCCCCATCGTGGATCTAAAGATTCGAAGGAAGCCTTCCAAAATGACCTATACTGCTCTATGGATCAGAGACGTGGCCTCTGCGCACAGAAGGCATACGGAAGATGTCGGTGTTTGATCCTCGATGTCTCCTAAGCATTGGTCAGACCTGGTAGGAACATCGGATTAGTAATGCTGACGTACACCAGATGGCCTTAGAAAGAAGGAACTCCCCCCACCCCGCGATAGATGAATTACTCACGCTAGTTGGGACCAGTGGACCCTCCGCCTTACAGAGCTCTTTTTCTCAGACCTGTGCTGAGTGGAAACGACCGAGAGGTGCACAATGTATGACGTGGCAACAAAGTTCGAAAACACTGACCAGTAAATTTAGTCGGGTGGGTGACTGCTGCCTCTCTGGATGGGGCCCCGGTAATCAAGTCACGGTTAGCTAATCACATTGGCGAAAATTGCCCAATCGCGCGATCAGTGACGGTCGTGCATCAATGCTATCGCCTTTACTGCGTAGCTACCCAATTTCTGGACAAACTGAACATGCCTTCACCTCCAAGCCTTGGTTATGTGTTCCACTTTCCCGTTTTCCGGTGATCGAAACTGTAGCAGCTGGAACCAACATACGTATGGTGCACGGTTTATAGCTGGTAAAAAGAGTTGAATTGAATAGTATATAGTAGGTACAGTCTCACCGGGAGTTTTTTGAATTTCAACTATAGTGAATAATTTGCCGGTAGTCACAGTCAACCTTTGGGCGGTCGGATTATGAGAATCTCCGGGTCCATCTTCTCCAACTCGTCTTTCCTCTGGAGAGGGTAGCATGGCGGCCGCTGACACACCGGTCACCTGTAACAACTACCTTACGACCTTTACTTCTACTTTGCAATTTTATTTCCAGAGCACCTCGTAATACGGCTATGTTAGTAATGGGGCGCGCTACTCTGTTTCTTTCTGGCACGATTATGCTTTATGGGACGTATTTCCAGTCAATGTAGCGCACGGTATCATTGCAATGTCTGAGCCTGACCATCTTATCAAGGCAGCATCTTACGACTGGGACTGAGGAGTTAGTGTGTTGTTTGGCTACAGACGCAGTCGTATCGACAGTCACCAGCTAGTCGTTCTCGAGGAATGACTGTTGATAACACCAGAAATATGCCTTCGGCTGATGTGCGCAATGGGAGCCGACTAAGAGCACAAGTTCTGTGCACTTAGTCCCACGACCAACCTTTACTAAGCAGCGGCCCCCATCGTGGATCTAAAGATTCGAAGGAAGCCTTCCAAAATTACGGATTCCAGTAGACCAATTATGCACAGTACTCGTAATTCTAAAAACGTATCCAGTCCCTCAATAGTCGTCGGTGTGTAGAGGCTTATTCAGGTAACATCACGAGCAGAACCAAGGCCTATTCGACCATAACAGTGTATTTGGGGACCTCAACGTGCAGACGGCAGCAAAACGGACAACGAAAAGCTCAGGTTTTCTGAAGATGATAAATTTGGCATCTTCCAGAATTTAATCAGACACTTCTCCAATGGATGCAATGTGATCCCCGCCTCTTTTCCACCTTGTTTCAAATGTATTGTGCCACAGTTAAGGGTGTAAAAGCGGACAACTCTTGGCGGCTTTTTAGTTGTTGGCCTTGCCTTAAGCTTCGTTCCGTTGAACAGATTGCACCTCTACGAACTGTGTTCGTTTGCACACCAATTTAATGTCAATAAGAGACTCAGCCGAATCACAGCTGAATATGGGGTGGCTTGAATATCATACCAACTGAAATACGGAACGGCCTTTTTGAAGCAAATTCAGCTGAATAATATCATAAAGACTAGATTCAGCTGGGACTCAGCTGAGTCCTCCATTGAAACCTATTGGTGTGCTAATAAGTCTGTTTCGCGAACTTCGTACGTTCAGCTGTAATACTCTTTCGGTGCCTAACTGCCATGACGCCCGGAAGAAGCACGAATGCTGGGATACTTCCAATTTATCCGAGCCTAGACAGGGGAAGTTGAGAGACAAAAGTAGGGTTCGAACCGCGGTCCTTCCGGTCAGTAAATTCGCACCCTAACCACTGAGCCATCTCGCCCCTGCACGAGAAAGGGGTCGACCTAATTAACTCGTTCAAGTTGGTAATGTGTTGAAATATAGGTAGCTCGGGTGAGTTTATTGGTTGTTGATCAGGTGGCTGTTGATCTGTTCGCCGAGTTTGACAATCGGATCGCAAGTCCTTGGTCTTCTACATGTGTGTGCACTTATTGCGCAGTTGTGTCTGCTGACAGCCATTTACGTTGCCTGTTTGGTCTGCTGTCACGTACATTTTGGACGCATGACTCCCCCGTTCTCAATTTCGCGGTAATATGGAATCTTTCAATTAATACTTGTCGTCAGAGTCTCAGAGGAAATCGCAACCGATCGAGGCTAACGGACTGATAGGCAGGACATAGGCAAGGAATATGTTTGAGCCCAGTGACAGCCGAGAGCCGACAGAACGTAGCGGGGTGGTGGGGAAGATGAAATGAAAATATGATGTTCTGAGGCGATCTTTCGACTATGGGTCGGTTATCTCTTGACATAGCCATCGCATTTGAGAAACAGAATAGGTTCAGGTCCTGTAGAACCCCTAAACTCTTACCGGACGAAATGACTGTTCTCCGAATTGTGCCTTTGAACTAATTGGTTGAACGGGCAAATTACCGCTGGTTCGGAAGTACGTCCTTGTTGCACTGATTTAACATGGTAGCAGAGAGGAAGCAAAAACTGGATCTGCTGTCCTCACACCTGATGTCCTAAAGGCCATGGGAGAGCGAATACGGGATAATGCTGTTAGGCCCTTCTGAAAGGTATGTGTAATCGGTGAAAGCCAATATGGTCCCAAAAAATGCTCATACTTTATTAAAGGTATCGCTAAAAATGTAGAGAAGGGCTATATATAAAAAGATATAAAACGCTCAGCTGTAGCACCCTTCCGGTGCCTAGCTGCCATGCCACCCGAAGGAAGCACGAGGGCTGGGATACTGCCAGGTTGCCCAAGCCTAGACAGGGGAAGTCGAGTGGCGGAGGTCGGATTCGAACCGCGAACCTTCAGGTTAGTAATCCGCGCTCTAACCACTTCGGCCATCTCGCCCCAGAAGGGCTATAAAATTGATGTTAGCTAGACCTTGACTCAGTTGGTAAGGAATTCTTACTGCCAGTGGTCATATTGGTTGGTTGGTCGACTCAGGTGATCAAGACCAAAGCAATCCAAGATCCGGGTCTTAAAGCAACTCATACCATACTGTACTCTATACTGTAATGGGAAGTGATGTGGCTACCTTGAAACGGATGGATACAGTGTATAGACACGAGTTGTGTGAAGGAACTACGTGAATTATCATAACAAGGACTGAAGCCGCTGAGCAGCATAGAACAAGGACGATTAAGAGGGGACCTCGTGGAGGCTCATGTGATTTTAGGTGATATTTTCGGGTTGCATGCGACAATCTTCTTGGAGCGAGAACAAATGGGCATACGGATTCCCTTGAAAAAGACCTCGAACGACCGATAACCCTTGGGATAGCCTTTCGCATGAGGTTAGCAGGTCGAAAAAGCAGCCGGATTGGTGTTTGGATAACTTATTGCAAGACGTTAACCTAGAGTGTTTCAGCTGCAGACGAGATAAAACGCGCACTTAGGAGTGTTCTGTTGGTCTAGTATCTTGTTTGTTTGAAAACTGGTCAAATATATTGTGAGGGGCGTTTGATACACGTGTTGATAAATGTGTGTGAAATGTGCGAAGTGTGGAAGTCATTAACAGCAAACTTAACTGCGCTTGTCATTGCCGTCTTCCTGGAAGGGGACCCAGAGACGGGACACATCAGTGGTTAGAGGCATTGTCAGACATGGCGCTCTTGCATCCAGGCTATTTCCGTCAACGCGCAGCCCCCTTCCAATCTCACTTAGAAGTTTGCTGACATTCCTGTATTCATCCATCAACTATACCGTTTTCTGCCTTCACTGGGCAGCTATCTTTTCACATTCTCAAGTAGTCGATGAACGAAACTGTGGCAGCTACAACCACTCTACGGTAATCTGCCTTCACTGGGCAGCTATCTTTTCACATTCTCAAGTAGTCGGTGAACGAAACTGTGGCAGCTACAACCACCGTACGGTAAGTACGTGGTCCCTAGCTGGTAATGATGATGAGACTTTGAGGCAACTTTGATCACAACTTTGACGGTTTTGACATGATGTGTTGTATACTACAATGGGGCAGCTGGAAAACAGAGGATAACAAATGCCACAAAAGTCAGGGAAACTGTGATCATGACCCTCAAATCTACCTGTGGGAGCAGAGGGGTTGTCCTCAGTAGTTTATTTACAGTGTCTGGAAACAGATTTGGATGTAAATGTAAAATGCAACTGCCATAGAAATCGCAACCAGTCAGTCAGCAGCAGGTAGGAGCAACAATACTATTTTACTGCATATATTCTGTTTTCGTTCGCTGGTTTCGTGCAGTGTACAGGTATAATTAAGGAGGAAATCCAGTGGATAGTCCGCTTCACTTTTGAATCAAACCGTGAAAGATTGTGCTTCAGTGATATTTGCCTGGCTGAAAAATGGCCGAAAATAGTCGCTTCATCTCCGCTTCTCCGAAGCTGCTCCGTGATCGATTGCTTTCTGTCCGACGTGAGTTTGTATAGGTTTAATCATGCGAACCATGAGCCATCTAACATACTTTTTTCGGTTTCTTTTAAAGCTTGTCAGTGGGTGTAGTCACGTGGAAAAGCCAACATGCGGTGCAGTATTATTGCTTTTATTAGTATCGGACTATGGCTAATGTTTCGCCGCCACCTTTCGTTTAGTCTTCGGTTTTTCTTAGTGTTGTCAAGAGTGGGTGCTGGTAATCGTCTGGCTTGATCATCATTAGCTACTCTGGAAGCAATCTCAAGTGACCTCTACTGAAGTCTGTTGATTCTGTTCCATTGAATCCCTCATCCTGGCAGGGGGACCCTTCGCTAAAGAGCTAAGACGGGTGTCTGGCATCTCGACATCAGTGTTCTGTGTGGAATCTCGACTAAATGCCGATTCTAAACCACCAACGAACGGCCTAGTTAGTGCTTGCTTTCGGAACGTAGGAGTTAATGCTGCCCATCAGCAAACTGTACTTACGATAGATGTACTGAGCTTTCTGAGTACTTGGCTTCCATTCGAAGGCTGCACGAAACAGTCTCTGGCTCTCGATTGACTGCGGACTTCACGATTCACCTCCTTTCCTGCCGGATAGGCTGTTTTTGGACCACATATCCGGAGAGCCCTCCTGTTCAGATTGCCTCACGAAATACAACGTCTGTTTACTCCAGCTGTTACTTGGAGGAGGTGCATTTGACCCCTAATCTATCATACTTCGCATTTCATCAAACGCTTGTGGCTGGATTTACTCGAAACTAGCCACATTTTTCCCTTGCTTTGTGCCGAGCATCATCGCGTTTCCGTTCTAATTTTAGGTCTTGAACGTCCTGTTGGACTGGACGTGCACTTGTTCTGGCTGTTCCACTTCGTTGCAGTCTGTACGGGCACAGCTTTTCATATAATAATGGTCAGTTCTCACTAATTCGTTCGGTCGAACATGCTGCTTGTGTTTCAGGATGGAACTGTTGGCGGCGGTGTTGCTGGTGGTGGTGGTGGGAAACCAACGGAGTTGGAACTCCTTCGAATGCGTATGAATACAACTACAGACCAGGTTAGTTTTCGTCACTTGTTGGGTTGATTTGACAAACTTCTAGAGTCTGGAAGCGACTCGGCGTATTTACACGTATGCTGACCAGGTAGGCTGCTGTGTTGAATTTTTGAGTCTCCCAGGTCTACTTCGTTTGTACACTTTTTTAATAGTTACTGTTGTTGACTAGTGTGAAGGAGTATGCTGCAACACGTACGCAGATTTTAACCCAGACGAGATTAGAATCTCTTTGGGAAATCATACAAATGGTGCTCCCACTGTTTAGTGTTCCATCTATAACCGGCAAATAGTCGAGAGCAAACTGCAAGATGTCTATTAGGCGAACCAACTCCGAACGTAACGGGACTACACAACAGCCAATGGAATAACCGTTTTTCATTGAGACAGATTTTATTGGTTGTTCTTCACTCGCCTTTGACAGATGAGTTATATCACTTTTGACCGCTTGTACGCGACAGTGATCAACAGGGCAGCTGGATCGCAAGTTTATTGACTTTTCTGGTTTGGCCAAGCGCGCCAGGCGATCAGAGTGCTATCCAGCCCGAGGTTCACGGTAATAAGAAGGCGTTAAGGACACTGTGGTCCACAACAACGGCATAGGAATGAGAACTGCCACCAGGTCGTTGGACCCCGTTAGTCTCACCCGCCACGTCTACTGGAACTGTTCTTACTTATTTGTCGTTGACCATCATATCACATCCGTGTACTGTTCAGCCGAGCTTCATAATCCTAGATTAAGGCCGCTCTAACAGTTATATTGTACACACAGCCCTTCAGCATTAGTGGGATTCGTCTCTGGTGTCATAGATGATTCAAGTTCGCAATTGTTGACTGTGTATTGATTTTTGTCACGGTACGGTGTTATCTTACATAGCTGTCCAGATAAATAAACCAGCCAACAAACTGTTTTCTCCCCTCGAAGTTTAAGAGGGTTAAAAATCCCGAAAAGTACTTTTCATCCTGAAAACGTAAAACGCATACGGAAGCTGGGGATCATATCCAAAATTCTCTTTAGAGTGGACCGTGCGTCGTCAAATATCCAGACAATGTCGTCCGCGTCATCCCAGAAGGTGTATTTTCGATGCCGAGAGCATCGATCCGAATTTCACAATAATAGCGACAACAAAAAGGATGAGAGAGTGCAGCTTTACGGAACCCAGTTACTTGTAATAAGACAACTGAACGGCTTCTCGTAAACTCTTGTGCGATTAGAAGACCGTGAAGTGTAGCTACAAACTCTAGGGGCATTCTTGGGTCAATTGCATATTCAGGCAATCTAACCTATCTAGTGAGCTGAGGAAAACCACAAGTATCGGCCGGTGGCATGTATGGCGCCGCTCAAGCATTCGATTAAGTGTGAAGATGTGATCAATGGAGCCCACTCCACGACGGCATCCTGCTTAATGCTCTCAGATTTGCGTCCCACGTACCGAGTTTGGGTGCCACAGTCCTATTGAGGCCAGTAACCGCGTCATTAAAGGCGTCGAGCTGATGTTCTTATTAGTTCGACGTGGTTGCGGAATTCGTAGGCTGCAATCAAATCACTCTCGCTTGAGCCATCCATCTACCTGTCCTGTTGGTGAGTCCACACCAGAAAGTCGAGCAGTATTTTGTCTGGAAAGGTCTCTTCTTTTTCAATAAAATTACGCCGATCGACTGGTTCCAACTGTTCCAGCTGAGTTGAAACCATTTATTTCAGACGGAGCGCAAATTCCTTAAAATAGTGTTGCTGGTAACTCCTCTGGCCCGATATCCTGATGACGTCTCAAAACGGAAAAGCACTTTAGTACTTCAACTGAGGGAAGATTTAAACTCACAAACCACAGCTTGGATTAAACTGTTAAAGACAGACGTAGGTGCAGAATTCAATGGTCATCTAAACTGTTGTCAAAACTTCGCGAACTACACTCGTTTGCAAGCTAATCAGGTTTACTACACCAAATTGGGCGCGGGTGTTCTCGAGCTCGACGGTGAGCAGTGAAAAATTCGGATGTTCTTTCAGCTGTAGCACCCTTTCGGTGCCTAACTGCCATACCACCAAAAGGAAGCACGAGGGCTGGGATACTGCCAGGGTGCCCGGACCTACACAGGGGAAGTTGTGTGGCAGAGGTCGAGTTCGAACCGCAGACCTTATGGTTAGTAAATATGCGCTCTAACCACTGAGCCACCTCGCCCTGTTAGGACGCCGAACGACTGGACGAAAGCGAACCCACTGTGCTGCAAACTGAACATGTATTCATATCGTCGAACCGATGTTATCCGACCTGGAAAATTGATTTCTCACGCGTGGACCGAAATCGCAGTTCATAAAAACAGCATTGACGCTTCCCGTCAAGCCCACATGCATAGCGTAGTCCGATGAGTGTCACTCGTTCACCCACTGACCGTCGCAAGGTGTCACCAGTACTATATTGTAACACTGTAAAAAAATTAAAACCGGAGCACAGTTTTAATACGTTTAAAAAAGATTCGAAGAACTTCTTACCCTCGGGAGCAGTTTAGCTGCTCTGGTGCTTTTCCGAACTTACCGTGTAATTTATTTCTTACTGAAGAAGAGTGTTTAGCTAGTACCTCATCTATTTGCGGAGCTATCGTTGGGTAGCGAATCAGACAGTCTGTTCGTTTGGTACTAATGACGGATACTAATTCTGAGCACTGTTTCAAACCGCGGAACGTGTCACAACACATGAGATATGAACAAGGTTACCGAAAATTGTGGGATTGACTGCACACCGAACGCCGGTCCTCCAAGCGTTCGTGGTTCAGGATTCTTTGAACGCAGCTAAGTGCGATCCCATATATGTTTCTCTCTCTTTCCGCCGTTCAACTCTTAGCTTTTTTAATAAAGCTGTTGTTCTGTGAGTGAAACCAATCTATGCTGAGAAGCAGGGCATCACGGTACAGCGGCTGTATCCCTATTTGGAATTATCAGCAATGTGCATCTCACGAAATTTCAGGGTGCCTCGAACCCGCGGCCTTCCGGCCAATGATTGAACACTTAACTGGTTGGCCATAAATGGCTGATCGGCTGATTAGCTCTCATACTTCCTTCTGAGAGGTCGTCACTCAAGGAGCCATTCAACACGCGGCCAGTGATGTGGTTTCCCTGGCTAAGCGACTGGTGGGGCTTGCTTATCTGAGTGAAAACTAGTCACACTGTCTTTTAACCGATCGTGAGTTGAGTGTTCAACCCTTGGTCGGCGTGTCGCGGGTGTGAAACTCTCCGAGTTCTGTGAGATCCACGCTGCTTGTGATTTCCAACACATATGAAACAGTTGTGCAGCGCTTCATGGTTTTTCAGCATGTTTTGGCTTCATTGACAGCACGAAATTTCAACTGACAGTTTTCTCACTACCATGAATCATCTCTCATCATCGACACGTGGCTCTCTTGCCGCTAATCTGTCTCTACCACCACTGTCATCGCGTTACACACGCCTCTTTGGTCCCACCCCTACACTCGTTCAGTTTTAAAGCCTGTCAAACTCCTCTGGTCGTCCTCATCAAGTTGTGATCCTTCCTTTTTCGCAGGCTTTCTTGAATTTTCAAGAATTGGAATAACGCTTATCTGTTCAAACGCTCTTGTTTTTCCACTCTTGTGAAGTACTCCAATTGGGTTCCTTTTCGCTCTAATGACTTCGTTTTTGTGTTTCGCTGGCTTCTGTCCTTCTTAAGTTCGCAACTCAAAATGCTGGAAAAAATTGTTCCATATAGCTCCTGTTCGAATGTAAGCTATGCACCCGAAGTAAACCAATCTCTCCTGATGATTGGTATTTCCTGGGACAGCTTGTGAACTTCGGTGTTTGTGTACAGTCAGGTGATGTTGATCGGTCACCTTATTCATACTTTTGCTTTCCTCATTCATTCCGGTATTTCTCGTCTAGGCTCAGAAGACCGGGGCGGCCACCATGGAACAGTTAGCTGCACAAGGAGGTATGTGTACCGGACGGACAGCTCACGAATGGCCATTTTCTGTTCCACCTCGTTGCCATGGCAATGAGATATGTTTTGAGGATCGATGCGTTTTCTATTATCAACAGTTTCCTCACTCACACCAGGTCTGTCCGTAACAATGATTGTGTTGTCAAATGCCCCTATTCGTATAAATCTTGTGGAATGACGATACTGGGTCATTCGCTCGATCGAACTGAGCATGTGCGTTCCTCGTGCGGTGGTAGATTACTGAGGGATTTGTTTGTTACGGGGCTATCGTTCAACCTCCGTGGCACGGAAGAGTTAAACTGGATTCCGGTAGCTCCCTGTCGTAGTAAATAATGCATGGTCCGAGAAAGATTTGTTCAAACGAAGGTTATATGGATGTAATCCCATCATTATAGCTGCAGTCAATTACCACGAGATTGTTTTCATATTTTTGCTGCCGGTGTAGGTCGAACATAGATTGGCGCGTTAATCCAACCACATTTTGAGCCTTGTAGCTTCCTACGTACCTCATTTACTGACACATTGTTCGCTGCATCGATATAGGTCCCAGTTTCGTCAGCGCGCGCTCACTTGGCGTGGTATCCCCCGTTGACTGTATTTTCATGAAGTGTAGGTGCAGTCATGTGATTTTTTCTCGTTTTCCATGGAACCACAAGGCGTTTCGTTGGGTCAGATAGAAGAATTTTATTTGCGAAGCAAATTCTAGCTAAATGCTCATGTTTCAGCAACAACAACAGAGTGCATGACCTGATACAATGTATGCCGTCCATTCATTCTGATTACATGTTTTCTTCTAGCGTAGGTAGCTCAGAACGAACAAGTGTAGTACTTGAATGCTTGAATCAGCGCGCTGCATCTACATGCTTGATTCTATCATTCCAGTTTCCAGCTGACGCTTGAACAATGCTTGTCAGTGCGCTGAAGCAATACGGCAGCTAGACATACCATATCACTCACTTAGTCGGTTGAATTTTCCTGAGGCGATTGCGAGAGGTGGGGGCGGCTGTTCAGCCCCCAAAAAGTAGCAGTTTGGCAGCCCCGGGGGCTTTCTTGAAATAACTATTATGAAGGCGTTTCGTGATAATTCAACCACATTTGACCCGCAAATAACGGTTGAATAACCACAACCTGTCCACTTTTAGGTGTTTCTTGAATAGCCACCAATTTTACTCGTTGATTACTCATAATAAACTCATGATTTACTGGTTGATTCCTGGTTGTGTGCTCGAATTTTGCTCTAGGGTAACCAGCTGTAAACCAAGTGAAAGAACCGATTTTGGGTATATCCTGTTAATGTCCTTGCATCCGGCTGTTTGGCCACTGAAGATCCACGTTATGACTGAGTAAATAACCGTTCTTCCGCTCTTTAATTGGATGAAATTATCATGTATAAATAACAATAAATAGCCATCATCGAGTGTGTCTACCAGGGCACGCAATTGCTGATACAACCACTAGCCTCCGTATACAAGATAAAAAATTTTGCCTTCAAGCCAGAATGAGTGAGCCGCGCTAACCTAAACTTTCTGGTTACCTATCTTAGATAACCAATAGGGGTAGGTCGTTATCATTCAGCTGTAACACCCTTTCGGTGCCATGCTATCCGACGGAAGCACGAGGACTGGGATACTGCCAAGTTGCCCAAGCCTACACAGGGAAGTCTAGATGCAGAGGTCGGAACGAACGTCGGTTGGTTGTGAATGCGTGTCTTCAAATGAGGGGATCCCATTTCTTTCTCAAACCCCTGCAGCTCACTCCGAGTGAGGACCACTGTCCTTGGCGTTTCCCTGAATCTGTCACCCACAAAAAATACATTCGATTTCCTTATTGCTAGTATTTATTACTAATATTGTTATTTATCGCACACCAGGACTCCAAACGAATTGTCATGTTGGTATGGCGGTGAAGGACTTGTATTGCTACTCATAAGGTCGCTGAAAATTCATCGACAGCTCATGATCGGTTTTGCCCTTCTTGGGGCTCATCAGGTAGGCGCAGTCCCCGAGTTTCCGTCAACCTTATGTTCTCGGGTACTGCGCCTACCTGATGAGCTCCAAGCAGGGCGAAACCGGTTGTGGACTGTCAACGAATTTTCAACAGCCTTATGAGTAGTGCATTACGAACATACATGTATCGCGATATCCCGAATATCGTAGCGACTGAAGCATGAGGCGGCCTGATGCAGCACATTCAGTTGCCTGGAAACACCACAAACGAGAGATTCAGCCGGGTTCCAGTTGAGTCTCTCGCAAAACCACATTAGTTTGCAAATGAGTGTATTTCGCTGACTTGTATTGCTCTTCATGGCGATGGGCTTCCAAGAGTGACAGCAAAAACTTTTTCGTGTTCAGGTTGCTCACCGCGTCCCTAGTGATTTTGTCGAAGCTTCAGACTGAGTTTTTTCTTCCGTTTTCACCCCCTTTTTTTGCAGAACAACTTCGTCGGGTGGATGCGAACATGGATAAGATTCATCACGATGTGAACGAGGCGGACCGGAATCTACAAGATCTAGAAAAATGTTGTGGACTCTGTGTCTGTCCATGGAAACGGTGCGTTCATGGTGACGTTTTCTTCTCGTACCATTCCTTTCAGCACTCAGTTGTTATTGTCATTGCTGGAGACGTGAGAGAGTGGGATTGTCGTCTTCCGTGTGCACATTTCTTTGATTGCCTTCACTGAGTCCCTCTTCCTTACACAACTATCGTAGCACTAGCTCATCCACACAAACCCACGGAAAGTGCGAATGACGTTCATGAAGGATCATCACGTGAACCGGAAGAACCAGACCCTTAGCTGGACCCAAATACAGTTGGATTTTCCAGCAATCTTGTGAGTAGTTTCCCTCATGAAAATATACTACGATATCTCGAATATCGTGCCAACTGAATCATGAGGCGGGCTGTGTGCAGCACATTCAGTTGTAGAATATCACAAGCGAGTCTCTCGTGAAAACCAAATTGATTTGCATATGAGTGTCTTTCTCCTTCTCGAAAAGAAGCACAGCTTTAGGAACTAGACCGTCAAAGATACTCGATCCGGATTGACTGGGATTCTGACCAATCAGGGCATGCCCTCGTTTGATCCGTTTCCTGCACGTGACACATTCGTCCAAATGATGTGATGTTCGGTTATTATGGACGGCTGGCCTCCGGACGGTTTTATTTTCTCCGCATTGATGATCGGTAATTGAGTTGGTTATTAGTTAGCCGTCAGACAATCAGCCCGCTGATGCTCTAGGTTGGCAACTTGGTCCTTCAGAAGTGATACCCTCGCGGTAATGTGCTGACACCGAACCGCTGCTGGGCGGTCAGGTATCTTGACGACAGTTTCTGGTTGAGTGCCATAATCGCCGTCCAGTCTAGGTGTGGGCACTCTGACGGTACAACCATAAACTTCATACTGTCCTGTTACGTTGACAGTCGCGTGGCGCCCGTAACCGGGTTGTTTACTACGTACAACGGAACAGGTAAGCAAAACTTGTTCATACTGCTTCTGTGGGTCATTTTGCCATTACACCCTCAATCATCTCGAAAACTCTGTCCACTCAGCTGCCTTTATTGATCGCATGCCAGATCAAAAAAGGATGTTGGATTCTCTTGGCATTGATTTCCGCCATCCCTCAGATGCAAGAATCTAAGACGCCAGTTTTGCCGTTGAACTGGAAGCTAGCTCCGGTACAACCATAAACTTCATACTGTCCTGTTACGTTGACAGTCGCGTGGCGCCCGTAACCGGGTTGTTTACTACGTACAACGGAACAGGTAAGCAAAACTTGTTCATACTGCTTCTGTGGGTCATTTTGCCATTACACCCTCAATCATCTCGAAAACTCTGTCCACTCAGCTGCCTTTATTGATCGCATGCCAGATCAAAAAAGGATGTTGGATTCTCTTGGCATTGATTTCCGCCATCCCTCAGATGCAAGAATCTAAGACGCCAGTTTTGCCGTTGAACTGGAAGCTCCGTAGACTCTTCCTGTTCAGCGCGGAGGCCACTACGACTGGGTGGGTGTTTTGTGCAGTGATCGAGCATAACCGTCTCTATTCGTTGATAATCGCCTTTGTGCAGTTCGCCTTGTGACCTGACCGTGAAGGACAGGTCCCTCACTTCCTGCCTATCGCATCCACTTACGTCCCTGAGGGCTGCAGCTCTGCCTCTGACGAACTGTTTCCGTGAAGTTACGTTTTTTGTACAGTGGACTAAAGGCCCAGTGAGGATTTACGGGAAGGAGAATATCGTTTGACAACAATAATTCTTGTCAATGCACAAGTCCCGAATCCAAATAGGCTATGTTGATTTCATTTAACGATGCTAACGATCAGCTACTACCAACTGCCGCTCCTGTGTGGACTCTAATAATGCGCTTATCCGCTGCGTTTCCCAAGTCCACGCAAAATACGCACGCTTCGCCTGATCAATTAGGGACAGGTCTCAGACAGCTGGGTCAGTGAGCAATAGCGCTCATCCGTAAAAGGCCTAGTCACAGGAAGTATCATAGGTTTCATGAAGGAAACTGTTCACAAGGTTGCTGAAAACTCTTCGACAGCCCACGACCAGTTTCGTTCTTCTTGGGGCTTATCAGGTAGGCGCTGTCCCCGAGTTTCTGTCAACCTTATGTTCTGTTTCTGTTTGACTCCTGTTGTAACAAGGCTTCTGGCATCGTGATTCTTCCTCATCTTGGGGCGGCATGCGAAACGTTGACCCGTGAGCATCGGGCGAGATCTGAACTGAGTGGAGGCTAAGTTGACCACGTCTTCACACTACACCAGGTGTTAGAACGACACCATACGTACAGAAAGTCCACGGTCTTAGTGTTTATTGACCGGCGTTTGATCCGGTAGTTAGTTTTTATGAAGCACGTTTTCTCAACAGGGGATGCTTCGAAAGTTCGTCGGCACAGCCCGATCCTTCTAATCACATACTTTTCGGTTCGTGATAATGTTTGTAGAGCATTCTAAAAGCATCTCAACAAGAAATGCTTTCCGTCGGGTATGTTCACGTTTTCCAGTTCTGCTTCGCTTTATTGTCGATAAAGTAATGACGCGAATACCGGAGAATCTTCCAACTCCCATGATTCAAATCGTTTCTGGCGCGAGATTTGTTTAGCTGGAGTACGTAGATCCACCCACGATTCGAGGAGGAGCACTGGAAGTTGCGCATCATTTTACCGCGGTGTGTTAAATGTTCGAATGAATTCCGTCTGATGAAATCACTGCACAAATCCCAAAAGTTGTTCAGCTGTAGCACCATTTCGGTGCCCGACTGGCATGCCACCAGAAGCAGGCACGAGGACTGGGATACTGCCCAAGGCTAGACAAGAGAAGTCGAGAGACAGAGGTCGGATTCGAACCACAGATTTTTCGGTCAGCAAACTCGCTATCTAACCACTGAGCCATCTCAAATGTCTGAATCATATTTTCCAGTTCGCATCACTTGTGGTATCAGAAAGCACATCAGTGTATCTCAAGGGTCGCTTGTACCTGGTTACGTTACAGGCTGTGCTGCTGTACGCTTGCGATAGTTTGCCTCGGGGGCATATGATTTGAGGTGTTTGGAGCCGTTTGACCTATGTCTCAAAGTCGTTGAACAGTGCCGATTAATTCCTGACTGAATAGTCAGAAGACGGAAATCCGGATGCGCAATAGCAGGTCTTTCAGTCTCGGTCAACATGCGGTACTGCAGTTGCTCGACCATGTGCTACATATGCCGAAGCATGCTCCACCGAGACAAGTATTGTTCTTTATACTTCCAGAATGACGCAGAATGCGAGATGGACAATTTTGGGGTTTGGAAGAATGGTGTGAAATACTGGGTGATGTTGGTGCAGTCCGCCTTGAAGGATGGGGTACTCTTTGTGCTCTACTGGAGACGCTGGGAGAACTGTGACCTTCGAAAATGCTTCCTCACACAGAGGATAACTGTCGTGAATCGTTTTGCACTTTTCTCACCTTGCGGTATTGTAATTCCACTTCGTTTCGGCATTTATGAACATTTTTCGGATGGAGTGTTTCCTCTCTCGATTGAGGAGTGCTACTCCGTCAACTGCTCGTCAGTCGTTTTCATGAAGACTGATCGTGCCACCTAGTCAACCTCGAATAAGAAACATAATCGAGCAACTGATCAGGAATACGATATGCCGAGGTTATGAGTTGTTCAATCCACTTTTCCAGTTCTTTTGTTTTCATCTTGTGGCACGTTCGGCCAAATTATCTATCAAAGCGAGTCTATTCACTGTCGGTCGACACGACTCGAGATTCCTCAGTGATTAAGGCAGGAACTTACTGACTTGAAAGTCTGTGGTTCGAATCCAGCTAGACTGTCTAGGCTTGTGGTGTTAAGTTTCGATAACGCAGCCATAATATGCGCAGACTGTGCAGATATTCTATCCTCAGCTATGCCCCCCAATCCCGACTCCCAGTACAGCGGAATAGTAAGAAGAGGAAACCTTGGACACAACTGTGATCCTCCGAACCACAGGCGATCCCTCAGAAAAGTGACTGACGATACCCATCTTTGCATCCCACGGACTTACATTGGCGGCACCGATGCTGCTTGTAGGGACAGAACCTGTCGAAGTGCCAGGCTCCACAGTGCCAAGGTGGTGTCTTCTTTGGGCCTTTGCTTTGCTTCTGATCAGAATACTGTGAGGCCGAAATTGACAGGGCCAGGCTGTTGTGTAGCCTGATGGATTGCATGAACTTCGGAACTGCCATGGCGCTCATGCATCCAAGGCATTGCCTTAGCTCCTTTTGCAACCAACCCCCACCCCGCTTGACAGCCCATTGATGGTGCTGGATTTGTGCACCAATTTATCAGCTCCCTTCTGCAATGCGCAGCTTCCTACCCCCCCCCCACAATCAGCACTTAGGCTGCGTGTTGAGGCAACAACCTAGGTTTGCTACCTGTGTTCTGGATACAAACCTACTCGTAGTGCGAGCTACATATATGAATATATATATATGTATATATGTATATGTATATATATATGTACATGTGTATATGCATTTATATATCCTTAATTTGACCTTGAAAAATGCCGGAAGTTCGTCATCACACAAAGATACAAAGTTTTTGGGGATATTGATGTCCTCAATAGGTGACTATACACGGAAGGGGTGTTACAGCTGAGTGAGTTTTTTATTCGATGGCGCAGGACATAATACCCTCAGGAGATAGGCTCAGTCATTTCGAGAACCGGAAAGTGTCATTTTTCGTTTTTGAGTGTGAAGGGAAGTGGAAAAAGTCGCCAAAGCCACCTTGTTGTAACTTTATTTGTACTTTATTTTGCTTTTCTGCCTAAAGTCTTCGGTTGCTCTACTCTTTGCCGTCCGTCCCGTGAGGCTAGTTGAACCTGCTCTGTCACACCATACATGAACATTACCGTTTATCAACAAATTTCTTACACACATGCTAATTAGATATGGAATGCCGGTTGCTCTTCACCTTATGGTTTATTAGCCTCATAGCTTCAAGTGCCACCTCGAGATGTAAGCTCACACGCAGACGTTATACAATCGATAGTACAAACCTTATTTAACTAGCATACGAT